TCCTAAAAATCTACTGTATGAACTGGCTTCATTACCCTGCTCTCCTCCCCACTGATAGCTGATGTGTGGTGAGCGTTCTGGCGCACTATGGCTGCCGTTGCATCATCCAGGTGGATGCTGCACATTGGTGGTGATGGAGGGGAGTCCCCATTACCTGTAAAGTACTTTGAGTGGAGTGTCCAGAAAAGTGCTATATAAGTGTAAGAAATTATTATTATTATAGTTGAGACAGACTAAATCCTCTTTATCAGATAACACCATCACTACGGTCTACCAAAAGCTCTGAATCGGCTGTACCTGTTTCCAAAAAACATTGTGAGAACATCAATAGTGGCATCAAAATGTATCCTGTCTAAATGTGTTGTTGATCAGGTTCTTTTATTTTAGCTGAAGTTTATCTGATATTTTCTCTTATTTAATTTCTTATACATTTTGTATTTCAATAAAGCTTTTAAATGTTATTATCTGTTGCTCTTCTTTATCATGTCATCATACTGTATGGGATGCTACTGGACTATTCCAGTAAAAACAGCTTAGGGAAAGACTTGTTACAAATTACTGGCAGGAATTGTATAGGAAAATGATCACACCCTTGCACAGTGCCTTTAATTTAGGTTTCTGGTACTTTTCACAAGTTATGTGTGATGAAAATGCATTCTTTTGATTTCCTTTTGCAGAAAAAGTCAGTATGATATGTAACAAATTAACAATTTGATTATTATAACTGAATTATACCAATTTAATTCAGTGAAAATTACACTAGGGTCTGTGTTTTTTTACAGTCCAGTGTTCAATGCAGTTTCTTCAATGCACATTTAACAGCGTTTTCTTGAATCACATTTCAAAAGCTGAGAGACTAAAGTTACAATCTGAAATATAGTAAACCTGCAAATGAAACCACAATACAAATTGTTAAACTGCTGATAACAAGGTGAAGGTATCAAGGAATTAGTGATCTAATATGCTTGTCTTTGTTTACAGTCTACTATTACTCTCTATCACGTACTAAAAATGAAAAGGCTTTTTTTCATTTTTGTTATATAAAATCGAGGTTAAATACAGAAAAATATTAATGAGGAAACCGTTTTGCAATATAGAACAAAAAAGAGTGCTAATGTTTTATCGCAATCAGGACAGAAAATGGTTTTCTGAAATGCATTAAGTAAAAACGTATTCATCTTCATACCATACCATTGTATGTTTAACTAGCTGCCGCTCAACAGAATAGTGTATTTTTTTAATGTTGCTAAAATGTGAAGTCACCTTTGTTTACTGTATTTCAACATGTCCTTGTCACAACATTTGAGTAAAGGTTGGGTTTGGGATTTCTTTAGAATGATAGGATGTAATCGAAGTCTTCGTACTAACAGTATTGCGTGTCTGAGTTTGTGCCAGAGACTTCTCTGACGGCAGCTTCATCTTTTATTCAAATACCTTAAAACTGCAGAAAATATGTAATTCTATGAAAGTGGTGTTATCATAATGAAATCAACAATTTGCAGCAACTCATAAAGGGTCTATTTTTAAAGAGGAAAAGAACTGTAACATTTGTAAATGACCAAAAGTGAGAAAAAGGGAGAAAAGGTCCAAATATTCAATTTTAAGGTAATAAGGTAAAATGTTGCACCCGACCGCTTTACATGCTGTTACATATTCTCGAATAACCAGACCGACACATATCATTTAATAGCCAACAGATACATTTCACTGGCTCCAGGGTAAAGGCATTAAGAATGATCAGATACGGTATGAACTGTAGCCATATGAATGTCCGTTCGTTTCACCCAATGACCAAGACAATTACAATGTCTTTTAAAAGACAGAGAAAATTCAATTAACCGTGCCGATAGGGTCCGTTGGTGTGTAGTACTAATGTAAGCAGAGCCAACCGATTCGTCACAAAATAACGTTTATCTTGTGTGTTTACAAACAAGTACAGTAATTGAGTCCATTTGGTACAAAATGTGATAAAAAGGCTCATTTACAAATATAAAAAAGGATAGTATGTGACAATCGGTAATTTATATTACCTGAAGAGACCAATTACTAAAAATACTCCCACTAAGGCAAAATAAACCCCCTTAAGCGCTGAACGGCTGAGAAAAGGATGGAAGGTGCAAAATCTCCTCTCACCTCCTCTCTGACACTGTCGGCGTCTTCCTCAGGAACCGTGGGGCTGCTTTCGCTGGCTGTGGCAGCCGAGGCTGGTGGTGACATGATGGTAATAGCAATACTGAGGATGGGGCATGGACCACCTTTGTAACAAAGAGTTCGGAAAAACAGCTTTCCAAAAACCCGCCAGCAAGCATAACACACATCATCCAAGGCACCCTTGACAAAATAGATCAAAGCAAACCCATCCACGCCTTCGCCGTTCTCGCAGCATTTCTTTTAGCAATTATTATTGTTACGGTTTTAAATGTGTCTTCCAGAAAATATGATATATATACACTATAGCCGTCCTTGTGCCTTGGGATGGCGTTGTTATAAAGTAGCAGTTCTAAAGATAACCCGTTAACGCGATACAAATGCTCTGGTGAGCCTCAGTATCTTTCCTCCTCCCAAGTGAAAAAGATACTGTACATCACCTACAACGCTGATGAAAGAGCCAGAGCGTTTTGCAAAACAGGGAAAAAATAGTGATTCAACTATGTATCCCAAAGGTCGTTTTTCAAAGAAATTAAAAGTGCAAGTTTCTAAATGCCGTTGGGAAAATACATATCGGATCCAGTTGTGTTCGTATAAAGGAGATTGTACGGTTCTAACAATCCTTAGGAATGCTTTCCAGGTGTTAACGCCGAGACAGCGTTTGGTGTCTTACACAAGAGTTTTCCTCCCTCTCTCTCCCTCCTCTGGGAGGGGAACGTGACCTTGTCTCTGTGCTGTGGATGCTCTGCTGGCAGACTACAATGGCAGAGTACACTACGGCACCCAGTCTCGCAGGTAATCTACCACTGGACAACAAATACTAAACAGAATTACTGTAGCTAAGTGTGGCTTCATAATTTTGTTGTTTTGTTTGTTTGTTTTTTTTGGGGGGGGGAATTTGTGACAATATGAACATGGAATTAAATATTATATTCAAAATGTGGTATTGCAACAGATAAATTTAATTTTGTAGATTATTGACTACAATAAAATAGGTATTTTTACTTTGAATCACATTACAGAAAAACTAATAAAACTTGTACGAGTCCATTGTTTATTTCTTAACCTACTCCAAGTAAGGCCATTTTAGTAGTGTATCTAATGGTTTTCATTTTTCCCAAACAGAACTTTCCAGAAATACATTTCTGTATTTGTGTTTTATTTTTAAAATTTGTTGAGACAGAACCTTCTGCCAATTTATCTTCTCTCTTGAAATCCTCAAACAAAACAAACTAGAATGTTACGTAATCATCAGTCATCACGCTAGTCATCAACATGACAGCACTGGTGACTTAATTCTATGTAAGATACCTCGTAAGAATGCATCGACAGCGAATTTTTATATAAGGAGTGAGCCAGTAAGTTTTACAGATTTGGGTGTGTTGTTCTTCTGGAGTTAAGGGTTCTTTCATTAAGCAACTCTGTGTTGAAAGAGAAAGTTCAGTCAAAGTGTAGAGTGAAGAATATTTCTTAATTAGGATGGTAGGAATTAAGGAAATCAGACATTGAAATGAGCCACATGCCTTTTTAAAGATATAGAATTGCAAAATATATTTTACTTAGAAGAATAGAAAACACTTTTCAGTTGTGTTCCTAACTCTTAAATACAAAGTTCACACTTTTTGAGAAGTCTCATCTGCCTGGACATTGCAAAAAGTTGATCTGCATACAAGATCATTACAAGGACACAAAACAGCATGAATGCAATTGATCTACGAATGTACAATCAGACTTAATTTTAACAGTTGAAGTAGGTAGCTGAGTCAGCATGCGTAGGCTGCAAAGGAACAACTAAAGGTGTATTCCATGCTGAAAAGAGAAGAAAAGAAACACAATGTTTCGGCTGTGGAGCCTTCACACACGGAGAAGGTTCCACAGCCAAAACGTTGTGTTTCCTTTTTTCTCTTTTCAGCATTTAATAAACCTTTACTTGTTGTTTTAATCCTAACAGGTCATATAGTTATATATTCCCCTAAAGCCTCAATGTTGCTGTCCTTGGCAAGCCCTGTTTTTTGACTCACTGCGTACTGCAACAACAGTTAAAAGTATTTTGGCTCTGGAGAGTGCTAATTAAGTTGAAGAGTCCAGAGATGGACTTTGTGATCTTTTATTACATGGCACCCCATAGAAGGCAGCAGAAGCTCAGAACTGCCACTGAAAGATAGGCAGCAGACAGTACTACACAAATATGGGAAAACAGAGCCAGGGTGCCACAAGGGACAAGCCCTGGACAGAGGAAAAAGGAGAAATGAGGCACATGTAGACTGCACAAAAGACAGAGTCGGCACCAATTACCCTATATCTGAACTCCATATATAAGTATTTATAGGAGCCAATCAAGCACTTACACCATAAGGCCCCAAAAGATCAGTCTGTAGTGTCCATGGCAACCAGTTAAGCCAAGTCCTCTGGCAACAATGCTGTTAGCTTACCAGATGGTGTTACAGCACTATTCTGTATTCATGATATTCTTATTGGTTTGTAACGCACCCTCTTATTAGTATTTGTTGAAGAATTTTGAAACTGAAATTGAAAGGGCTTTTATGCATTCTGAAGCTGTATTCATGAAGTAGTATCTCCAGGATTAAAAAAATGAGTGAAATTCATGTGTCAATTTGCTACTAGAAATAAAGAGCAAATTGTAACACTGGGGAAGAACCACCAGGCCCTAGAGATTTCTTTAAAACCCTCACCCACTAACCCCCAGTTATGGAGACTGGGAACATGAAAAAAAGAAACAAGATCAGTTCTTCATCCTCCATGTTGTTTCCTACAGTAAAACCATAAGGTATACTTGCCAATACCTCTACTGCAAGTGATTCTTAAAAATATCTGAGACACTTTACTTCTTCCTTTCATGTTGTATTAGATTTGTTTGAGCTCCAATGGCCATTATCCTTTCAGCCTGTCTTTTATTATTTAATCTATTGAAACCACTTTGATCACTGAGTTTCATACATATAATGTAAGCTCTTTGAATGTTTATATATTTGAATGTGACTCAGATAGTTTGAGACATTTGTTTTCTGTAGTCCTTGGATCCTGAATTTCAAAGTCATTGTCAATGTAAAGAGATAGTGTACTCCTTCACCATTCCGTTTTTCCTAATAGCAGGTTCATTTCTATGAATTACTGTGTCACTTAGAAACAGGCACTAGGGAGCTGATGTGAATTTTATGGACATCTTTTTTTGTTGTTGCGTCTTGCCTCTACCTGCTTCATCTTTCTTTGTTTAACACAGAGCCACACTATCTTTTCTGATTTAAATGCTCCTGAACCTCCTTACACCAAGTGTAAGTGCACTCCCTGTACTATAGATGAAGATGTTTGCTAAGCCCAGCACTTGGATTTCAAGTGTTGAATGCTATTCTCATTGAGGCTAGATGTGCTTATCTCATAGAAGCAAATAAAATTAACAACAACCATCTTTTGATGTAGTATCTAAATTAACCAAAGCTCTCATCTGTCACCCCCTATCAATGATGCTACTACAGCCAGCTGTGATGAGTTTATGCTCTATATTCAGAAGAAAAGGATTGTATATCAGAAATGAGACACTTTATGTTGACTGACCTTCATTCGGGTATAAGTTTACTTTGACCTAATAATAATCTGCATTCGTTCCCCAGATGAAAACACATATTATGATTACTTCAATTATAGAAAGTATAGAATATCTACTTATAATTTACACCATGTTCCTATTAAATTGCTTAAGCAGTTAATTAATGATGTGCACATTATGATTCTAAGCAATTAAAATACTTTACCTTACACTAATGTTGTAATTTTTCCCATATAACTCAAGTCAACAGAACAAAGCCCACACTCAAGTAAGAGACCCCAGATAATAAATAAAGTACTTTATAATCTGTACATTTTATCTTTGGTTGTATCGAAGATTTTGATGATTAATTTACTTGGATATCATGGACAAGAGTATAGATAATAAACATCATTCTGGCTCAACCATTCCAAGAGGAATGATATTCTTGACATTGAAACTGAACATTTTTTTACATTCTTGCTTTCCATTTAAATTTAATTTTTATTAGTGAAGACAATTCATTTTGCCTGGGCCTTACAGTGGATGGAAAGTACAGGACAATGGAGTAGAAAGATAGAGGCAAACCTTAATGTAACTAGGCAACTCTCTTAATTTAACCATGTAAAGTTCAAGGAAGAATTGAAGTAATCCAAAAATGAATATTCTAACCCTCATCCAAGATCAGGTTGAAACATTGCCTCATTTTTACTGCTTAAAAGCCCCCCCAAAAAGCTTAATTCTCCAACTGGCCTAGAATGTCATCACTAGTGAGAGAGGCAGGTCCCTTTTCAGGCCATAAAGGCTCATGGGGAATGGGAGGCAAGGGCCACCATATTTCTTTGACCATCCGAAACTAGAGGTGGAGGTGATGTGGTCAGCATCACACTCTGGCCGGCCTATTACTCCCAGAAGGATTAACCACCAATACTCATTTGGAAAGCAAGCTGAGTGGACCTGGGATCCATCTAGAAGGAACTAGAGCAAGCTACATCACTTGCCCCTTTCTGGGATTGAACCCAGGACCTTCTGGTCGGGAGCTAGACACTCTTGCCCTATGAGCTACCATAACAAGTCAAAACATAATTAAAATGGTCATTATTTTAGACTAATAAGTAAGTTCCTTAGAGGAAATTGTAAAAGATTGAAGAATGCCTGAGCCACTAAGCTCCTCCACAGACTGAGGCTTCTATATCCCCTCTCTGATTGGAACAACAGAACTTGAAAGAGCTACAGGAATGTCTGGTTGATCAAGGAGAGTAGGCAGTGTTAGCAACCCAGGGGTTACCTGTGGACCATGTCTATCTGCAGATTATCAGGTGTCACAGTGAACTGTCCCTCTTTCCTTTCTCCATTGTTCTTCCTCTCTGTCTAGTTTTGACCTGCTCAGCTAACGTGTCTCCTATGACTATGTGGTAATTGACGTGTGTCTAAGCGCACAACTTGTCATTCAAGCTGTGACGAGTGTCACCTGCTGTACTGCATGAACTACAATCCAGTAAGAGGAAAACACACACCAGGGAGGAAAAAAAAACTATTGTAGCTGACAGAAGCACTGGCCATGATAAGCAAAAATGTAAATAAGCACCCAAGTTATGGCCCTTAGCACACGCATAACATGTCGTCTATGATTATTAGTTTTGGTCCGGGTTTAGTGTAGACATTAAGCATTGTGTAATAAGAGTAATACACATTTGGTTTTGTTTTAATAAAAGTAAATAGGAATCTGATTCAATGTGTAACATAAAGTTAAAAGGTATATCTAAATTATTTAACAAAAAACAATTCCAAGAGTAAATATCATTGTGGGAATAAGGATGAGTGAAACCTGAGATTCAGTAACTTGTGGAGACTCCTGGAGAAGACTTCAACTGGACTTTTCCTGTAACTGTTTACCAGCCTCTTGTATTGAGTTTTAAGCATTGTGGCCCTTTTTTTCTTTCATATTTGCTACAAGTGGATGACATTTGAGGGTTTCTTTGCTTAAATTGCTAAATATTTACCCCATTGAGGGTAAATATGAAGAGGCTGCACGGGGGTAAGGCCACAGGACCAGATAACATCTGTCCCAGAGTTCTGAGGGCCTGTGCTGATCAGCTGAGTG